ATTTTAGTTGAAGTGGCTTTAGAGACACTCACTTACTATTTATTTAGGAAGGCTTAAGTGAAGGAGTATATTTAAATATTCCAGCCTGCATGGTTGTTTTTAATCATCTAGGAGAACTGATCACTTTGTGGTGACATGGAAGGCTTGCGTAATCTCTCGCAGAGGGAGATTGTTGCATTGTTCTTTCTAACCACAGAGTTTCTTAGTTTTAATATTCAGGACAAAAACAAGCAAGATTTCCGAAGGGAAGAAGCGTAGTAGGATAATTTTAGCTTGTTGGTTGGCAGGAATGTCCTGCAAGCCAACACCTTTTAAATCTAAGAGAAAAAGTTTTAATCGGGACATTGACATTCGAAGTCAGAAAATATGTTTTATCTTAAGTCATATCCTCAATGTGCAGAATAATGAGAGAATTTGAAGGCTATAGTGATGTAGTATGATGCCATTTATATTCTGCAGTGAGTCGATGTGACGTGGATAAAAGTAATTTCGTGCATTTTGTAAATTCTGTTCGATGACACTGTAACCATTTTACGAACATTGCGTGATTCAATGAGGACATTGACCGGACTGTCCGGGGAGTATGTGACATTCGACCAGAATGTGAAAAATGCAATCTCTGCAGAATTCGAATTTTTAGCAGCGAGCCTTCCGGATTGGTGATTATTAAGAACGATATTGGAACGATTGGCCAAACGGTGAGGGCTGGAATATTCTGGTATTTTAAAATTTCAAAAATTCGAATTATGACGTCATATTTCTGAGAAACGTCAGAAAAGGCCATTTTGGCTAAAACAAGAAAGAAAGACAGAACAACATTAGCTGCGTTAACAACAACTACGAAATCGAGATTGGAAAACGACAACGAAATGCAGGAATAGCAGTGAACACTCCGAGTTGCAACTATTGTGCCGCTACAATAGTTGCAAGGCCGTTGCGAACAACGGTGAAGGGTGAAAGACGGCCTTCCGGATTAAGAAGAAATCAGGATTAACAAGCTTGATCCAGCAGATTTATCAATCCGGAGGGGTAAAGGAACTAAAACTTTTATCCTGTTACATAAACTTTTAGCTTCCTGTCATGTCCTGACTTGAATTTAATTAACATCTAGATTCATTTTGATAAGGATGAGAAGCTAGGAGTTGGGGGAAAGGGTTGATCCATCTTCGATGGAGATGATGATTTTTATCTACTGAACAGAAACAATAGTAATATAATAAATAGTAGTAGCCCTGTTTTTAGGAGTGACCTCGTGGTCTGGGGATACTGAGACCCAGCCATGAGCTCACTATTTCTGCATGTAATCTAGTTAATTTGAGTGTTTTGACCGAAAGCAGTAACGTTTTTGTCGACCCGATGTTGGAAAGACCACCGAAAAGTACTGGCTTGGTAGAGACGGTGAAAAGCATGCAAAGCTCTGTTTAGACGTTAGCCAGTCGTCTTAAGACTTAGTTTTGTCTTCCGTCGATATGTATCTTCCGGGCGAATGTTACAGTCCTTAGTTATCTTGCGGTGTTCAAGTCTAACCTGGCTGGGATGTATCTTATCGAGAAAACCTTGAACCACTATTTGATCCCGTATGTCCTGGGTTTTGTCCGGGTACAACTTTTGCGCCAATTGCTGTGATTCCCTAGGGAAATCTTTCAGATATTCACCTGTCTGCTGCGCGCGAAGCTTTAGCGGTCCGCTGAAAACCGTCGGTTTTTCACTGTAATGTCTTCGAAAAGCTTTAACGGTCTCATCATAGCTACTTCTAGTAGCCTCTGGGAGGGTACGGTAAAGTTCGATTGCAGATTTATGCAATCTTAACGCAAAATAATACGGCCGTTTATTAGTTTCGGATCCACTTATCCCTCTACAGTACGTTTCAATTTTTCATTTCGGCTTATAGCTCAAAGTTTGTTTAGTAGCTTTCAAAGACGTTAGAATCGTTGAATGCCTCCGGCAATAACATCTTGGATACCGAGATTGCCGTTGCCATACTCAACTCCCACCCTTCTTAATTATTTATCACTTTATCCCTGTAAGTGGAATTTTCTGGGACTTACTCGCTGGTTTCAGCTTGAAATAGAGTTTTATGTCCCTCCAACAACTGTTTATTTGCTTTTATTTCAGAAATTTTGTTTTTCAGTTCAATTTTCGTCAATTTATTGTTGAGTTTAGTCCAATTATTTTTGCATCAGAAGATTCAATGACAATTTACAAACCAAATCAGCAGAAAAAATTCATGATCGATCAATTTTTGTCCAGGGTTTCTGTTTTTTGAAACTTTTTTTAAAACTCACTTGTCCTTCCTGACTCGTTTTATTTTCTTTGTCGCCACTGTAAAATCAGCCCTACACGTGCTTTCTCGGTTGAGTTAAATTGAAAATTCGATTTATCTATAAATGCTTTAATATTTATACACAAAATTGAATATTCAATTATTATGATGTTCCCGGGTTGCCCCGTTTCTATCCATACTCTGGATAATTGTTGATTTTACCCAGATTACGGACTTTCGCACTATCTGACACTCTATGAAGTGAAGTTTTCTCCCGCCTGTCAAGGCCTTTGCATGATTGTCAAAATTATTTAATGCGTTTGTAGTTCTCAGACATCATAAGTTAGCAATGACCTTTGTCAATTTAGTTAGGGTATGATCTTTACAATTTACTAACAAGGAAACTTTCTTTCCCCTTCAGACTGAAAGCTCATTATCAAGAATAACTGCCAAGTCTTTTTCTTTCTCGGTGTTTTTCAGTTCTTCTCCTTAAAATTGCTGTAAGGTTGTCATTTGTTTTTCACTTGCAGTCCTCCATTGTAGAAAATTATCTTCATTGAAAAAAAAACTGTTTCTTGACCGATATTCTAACACTTCTTGATCATACCTTGCATTTTATAGCTCGCGGTATAAGTTCACAACGTCAGCAAAAAGTTATAATTTTGATACATTGAACCTGTCATTGAGTTGATGTGCATTAGAAATAACAGTGATCCGAGAACAGTACCTCGGGGAATTCCACTTTGGACATTCTTCCCTTTGTTGCATTCTACAAATGATCTCTTCTATCCAAATCAATGTTTTTCCGCTATTTCAACACATGTTGAACACCTAAGATTTTGTATGGCACCAAATCAAATGTTTTTTGATCTTTTTGCTTCAGAATTTTTTCGGTTTCAATGAATTGGCAGCGCCTTTTATATCAGCTTGATGGCCCTCTTGTTCTTACATTCCGAGCAAATTATGTTTTTTGAGGGTTAGGTGAACCCATATATTCTGGTGGATTTTGTCTGGTTCCGGTGGTTTTGAAGTATTGAACGTCTAACTGCTCTTTCATTGTTTGTTCAAAACCGACAAAAAAAAGTTTGATAGGAGCTCAACCTTCTCTGTCTCATTTGTTGTTAACGTTTTAACTGCTTTAAATTATGCTGGCATTGAATTTTACAGCAGTTTTTTGTCTCACGTAGCTTCAGAATTTTTTCTGTTTCAATGAATTGGTTTCGGCGTCTTATATCAGCTTGGTGGCCTCATGTTGTTTCACTCGACGATCAAATCAACTTTTTAAGGGTTAGGTGGGACTTAATAACTTGTTATAAGTCCTAACGACTTTGTTACCGTTGGGCAATTTATCCTGCGATGCTAATTTCACATTCTATTCTCTTGACTTGTTTTTATTTCGAAAAGAAATAGCCTTATCATTTTGATAGATCTATGAATTATTTCAGAAGGATTTTTCTTAGCTGGTGTTGAATAGCGTTCTTTCCTTCTCCGGTATAGCTCCGCAGTTCCATTTTTTGGCATCGTCATTTATTGGTTTTGGCTCATGGTTTGTGCAGTTGTTTTATCGGCTTCATTACTGTTGTTGAATTTTCCATTTCAAAAATATGCCTGGCTAATTTATAGCATGTATTTCTGGTTCTCTAGCCAACGTTTAAAATATAAGTTCCCGAACACTTTCTTTGTTCATCTTCAATTTTTTTGGTTCAAGGTTACAGCTTAAAATTTTGGCTGTGTTTACGAATATTTTCGATCTATTCCTTAATTTTATCTGATTATCTGCACTAAATTTTTGTTTGGTGTTTTTTATTTCTACCACTTGAAAAATCAGGTACCACAAAAACGCAAAATCAGGTCAATGTATCATGTACCACGAATAATCTACTATTCGGTCAAGCAATTTATCATATTAAAGCCCCTTAAGTCGTGATTCGTGTTGAGATAAAATTCTCACATAGTTGAGATAAATCAGTTTGAGTTTTTTGATTTTTGGTCTAAATTTGAGCGAATACAGGCGAGCGAACAGCTTTAAAATAGCTCATTTATGCTAATTTTTAGCCGCAAAACTTTGTTCGTCGAGAAAAAATTTTTTTTTTTTGGTTCAGCGAAAATTTGGGAATCAAAAAAATTCTGCAAAAAAACTTTTTTTTTGAATTTATTTTTAAAACTCTTATAACGATTGATTTTTCTAGTCATATTTCTAAAAATGTTGTCCAATGACTGTCGACTATGCCTAATTTTTTTTATAGTTTTTCGTTCAGATTCTTTTATCTCACCACCCAGAAAAAAAAATAATAATTTGAAAAACCTTTTTTTGTAGTTTTTAAGACTGGTCGAAAAATTCTGTGCTATATGCACCGTAACTGGCTGTCCTTGTTTCTTTTTGTGATGTTTCAAATTTTTCGAAATAAGTTTTAATCGTTTTGTGAAAACTGTTTCTCGGTTTTCGCGTTTTTGGCAGTTGGGTATTGCAATTAGTGGGAGGCGCATCGTTGCCTCTGAGTACCACTAACGCCATTTGTTTTTTGACTTAACGAGCTAAGAGCCTTTGCAAACGAAGAGTCCAAATAGTGACTGAGTTGCTGTGAATTTTTTCATGGACGACCATTGGGCAATTTGCTTAATGAACTGATTGCTTAAAGCTAACATGAAAATTAGTAAAATCTATTTGCTCTTGCTGGTTTCGTTATTTAATAGAGATAGTCCCTTTGTAAGCTAACGCAGTTACTAGCGTCAGTGAGTTCAGTATCAGGAAAAAGGGTTTCTTGGGTTAAATTTTGTCCGATTCGAAGCGAGTTTTGAATGTTTTCGAACCTTAGTGAGAAGAATTGAGAAAGTTCGATGACATTGATATGTCAAGCTTGTGTTCGTTCAAACTGTAGTTTAACGATCTTATTCGTTCAGCTTTGTTGATACAGTTATCTTGCCCGCTGGTGAATTTACTCATATACTTGATTTGAAATTCAATTTGATTGCCGAAAAATCAGTTCTTCTGATTTTATCTTAATTTTATTGCTCATTACTGTCCCTCTTTTCAGAAGAAAAATCGGTTCGTGAGTAATGTGCTTTCATAAAGTTAAATACGGTTTTTGTTTTCTTCATGTACGGAAAATTTGTGTGAGCGAAGCAGTACATTTAACAATTCAACGTGAAAGATAAAAAATCGTTTTTTCTTGCTCCAGCGATGTGCAGTTTTTTTTGAGTTTAGTAAACTGCTGAGATCTCGCCCATAGTTAAAAACCTGAGAGTACTTCAGTGTTCAAAGACATTTCATTCTTTTTTCTTAGTGGCATTTAAGGAAATAGAGATTCTCAAAGTCACTTGTAGATAAATGGTTTGTTTTGAAGACTCTTCAAACCTGCTTGTCACGTTCTGTTTTGGTTTTATTTGTGTCAACTATTGAGTCAGTTAATTTATTCGCTTTGATTGAGCGTGATTAAACGCTCTTGGTTATATATACATATAATATATATTTGTTTTTCAGAGCAGCTGCATTCAAAATGGCTATGCAAATCAACAAAATCAAGCGGAAGCTTGCGAAAAATAAGCATGGCGAGTCGGAACTTTTCGACGTTCATGATATTATGGAGTATGGATTCCCCTCGTCGCCTAGTGCAATAGCATATGATGAACATTTGGGACTCCTAGCTCTCGTTACTTCTAGTGGAGAGCTGAGAGTCTACGGCAGAACTGGAGTTTTAGTATCGACGACGCATAAAGACATCTCGGCCGTTTCTCAGCTTGTGTGGGTTCCAAACGAAGGCAGACTTATTAGTCTGGGTGAAAAGAAAGGACAGTCAACTTTGACTTTGTTCGAGTTGAATAAAAAATCTGGAGTAAAATCTGTCATTCTGGAGGCGGTGAAAGAGTTGGTCTTGGACACGAAAAAGGCGACAAAATGCAGTCTAGTGCCAGCAGAAGGCAAACTATTGATCGGAACTGAAGTCGGAGACACTTTAGTTATGGATGTTTCCTCGTTCGAACTCAAAGAAGAAACCATTCATGTAGACGTTGCAATGCAAAGTGTACCTGAAGATCTGAAGCTCACACCTGGATCCGTGCAGGTTGTAGAACCCCATCCATCCAACAAGGAACTTGTGCTGATTGGGTATCACAGTGGTCTCATGGTTGTCTGGAACCTGGAAGACAAACTGGCTCAAGGTACTTTCTTCATCTCGTGCAGTGCTTTGGAAAGTGCCTCGTGGATGGGAGAAGGTGATGGATTCGTGAGTGCTCATGCTGATGGCTCGTATTACAGGTGGACTCTAAATGCAGAGTGTCAGCCTGTACAATCATTCCCTTTTGCTGACCCCCTGGAACCTGCGCAGAGAATTACAAAACTGCAACTTTACCATTGCGAGAGAGGAGATTTCATGGTTTTCAGCGGAGGTCTTCCCAAAAACATGTATACGTCTACACATTCATTCACAGTACACCATGGCGAAGCCCAGATCAATTACGAAACGGCATCAAAAATTGTTGATTTCGAAGTCATTTACTCTTTGGAAACTCTTGCCACTGAACCAACTGAACAAACCACTGAGGGAGAAACAGAAGAAGCCGAAAAACCCGAGCCAACAGTCGTGAGGAAGGTATCGGCACTGGCTGTGTTGACTGAAGACGAGCTGATCATGATCGATTTGACAAGCACTGAAGGCGAAGATGAAAAAGAGCCTCAGTGGCCTGTGTTCCGAAAGCCCTATCTCAACTCCGCTTCCCCTAACGATATTACATGCTTGTACATCCATGAAGATTGTGGAGGTTTGCTTGAGAAGTTAGTCCAAATGGGAGATTCAATGTTCGCTGGAAAATCAAAGAGCGATTGGCCAATTTTTGGAGGATCAGTGGAATCGAAGGCTTCGGAGAAGCTAAACATTGCAGTTACCGGTCATTATGATGGAAGTGTACGATTCTATGATGTGAACGGGGGAAAGTTTGAGTTGCTGTATGTGCTGAATATGAACAATTATTTCCAACCGGAAGATATAGATGAGGAATCTGCAGCGAATGAAAGCTTAGGAGACGTAATTTTGAGAAAAGTTGGCGAAGAATTTGGATTGTGTGGAGATGATAACCGATTTGCAGTATGTAAATTGTACATCTGCCCTAAGACTGAGAAGCTGTTCATTGGAAGCCACAGCGGTCAAGTTGTCGTTTTTGAGCTGGGAGAAACAACACCTGCCAATATTGAAATCAATGAGGTCAAAATTGTGCCGGATGATGCCGGATTCCGATGGAAGGGAGCCCATCCGGCCAAGCTGAAGGATCTTTCTGCCGAGTCATTGCCGTCTGGTTATGTATTGAAGACTGTCGTTCAATGCGAACCCCCTGCTCCGATCACCAGCATGGCTGTTAATGAGAAGTATGGCCTCATTGCAGCTGGTACAAGTCACGGATTCGGAGTGTTTGATATGGTTCTTTCAAAAACTGCTTTGACCAGAAGCACCCTGGTTGAAAACGACGAAGTAGCGTCGGGCGCTAAATTGTCCAAATCGAAGTCGCTTCGAGAGGGTATTAGAAACTCGTTCCGAAAGCTGAAGCCGAAAAAGACAGAAGCGACTGCTGAACCGACGGCCTCTACGCCGAAAAGTGAAGCGTCGACTAGTAAGCCCACCGAAGTGAAGTCGGAGGATCCGAAACCGACTGAAGAAGAAAAACCAGCTGCAGATGCTGAAAAGAAAGAAGGTGAAGATAAATCAAAAGAAGGCGAAGTTGAAGAGAAGAAAGAGGAACCCGAAGCAAGTGCAGAGCCTTCTCCGGCCGAAGAAACGAAACCAGAGGAACCAGAAAAAACTGCAGAAGAGCCGAAAACTGTTGAGGAAGTTAAAGAACAAGAGAAAGCTCCAGTAGAGCCAGTGGTTGCTCCTGAACCAGCTCCAGCAGCTCCTTCTGTTACTATCATGGAAACTGAGGAGCAAAAGGAAGGTCAGATGGCTGCTAGAGTTGTGGAGGCGCGGGGAGAACGCCAGGATAAGACGATGATGTCGACTGTTCGGTACCTGTTCTTTGCCGATACCTTCCTCCGAAACAGCAAAGACAACTCTCCTAGTTTGTGGGTTGGAACCCACGCGGGAAGTGTGTACTCGTATCTCATCACCCTGCCAGAAGAACGAGAGAGTGAAGAGGCTAAATTGAGATTGGCTAAGGAGATCAAACTGCTCCATCGAGCACCTGTGGTTTACATGAACATTTTGGACCACAGTGGGTTCCCTCTTCCAGATGCGTCTGCTGTTGCAGCTCAAAAGGTGAGCTAGAATAACTAGATTGTTTTAAACAGCCTTGCCAACTGGTTCGAATAATATGAACTGGTTCTAATGGTTCATAATATGTTCATTTTTGAGACTGGGTTCATATTTTTGTCTCAGGGATTCGACCCCCTCACCAACCAAAGGGTCCCCCTTTGATATTATCAGGGGCGGATTTAGGGGAGGGATGGCGGACGTTCCCTTTCCTCGGGAATTCGACCCCCTGCCGACCCAAAGGGTCCCCCTTTGTACTATTTTGATATATCCATTTTTGGTGACGGACCCTAAAATTTTTTTAAAGGCGCCAATATATAATATTTTTAAGGGGGGAGCGCGCGCCGAAAACACGCGATTTTATTGTCAAAATTCCCCTGTTTTACCCAAAGTTTGCCTGCGGTGCAATTTTTTTTGTCAAAAATCAGCCTTGCCAACTGGTTCAAATAATATAAATTCATATAAGTTCATATGAGATTCATGAAACTTTTAAATGTAGCCAGGAATGGGTCTACTGTTTTTACAGGAAAGCCATTTCCAAGTTTCAATCCCATTTGATTTTGAAAGTTCAAAGCCATTGAAAACAAAGAACAAATAGAATTTGCTCGCTCTTTAAATCGCGCAACTTTCGGAAGGTTTTGACCATTTCTCTTTCAAATACGTGCTTTCGTGACGCACTCGCTTGTCACTAGAGCTTTTTTCATGTATAGCCCGCCAACTTTGCAACAACAAAAAAAAATTTAACAAAAAAGGGGGTGAGCGTGCTATAAGGCGCTGTGTGGTTATTTCGGCAGGTAAAGAGCCCTCAATAGCCCCTCCCTCTCTCGAATACTGTCTTATTGGAATACACACCGGATTCTAAAAGCAAGCGCGGGATCGATTTTGGAGAAGCAAGCGAGGGATTTGAACCTACGCCTTGGGGTTTGTAACCGAATTTTTACCCGCTAAACTAATTATGACAGCTGTTATCAACATAGAGAACTTAAGACGCTTTCTGTGTGTCTGCACCTCTGTTTTTATTAGGAACCACAGCGTTTTTGAGGGACCAAACAAGTACACTAGTACCAATTGTTCGAAAGTGGCAGATGAATATTGTCTTTTAAGCTCTCAACCCCCCCTCCCCCCTCCCCCACCTCGCAGGAGCATTAATTTTATCGTGTTTTTACAAGTGGTTTTTTAAGGTGAAGTATGAGGACCAAATATGTTTGACATGGCCTAGCTAGTCTCCATGTCAATTTTTAATAACAAGCGTAAAAATTTTTAAGGGGGGGGGGAGGAAGGAGGAAAAAGAGCCGCTTTTTTATTAATTTTGTATATTTTAACTTTTAGCAGTTTAGTCCCGGCAGCTTTGGTTAAAGAATTGACGTTTTTTTTACATTTTGGTTTACGCCACCGTAAGCAAAAATGGGAGGAGTAGTGTAATTGACAAGGCCTCGTAAATTGAAGGACCTTTTTAAAAGAGCGTTTTTAAACAAATATTATGTGCACTTCACTTCAAACTGTTCATGACAATAGATTGTGTATAAATCATGAAAAAAATGTTAGAGTGAGACAAAATGTTTTTACAAAAGCGAGTTGCAAGAGCAAGTATTTAAACATTCTAGGCACCGCGAAAAAAATAATGAATCGCATGCTTGCAAAGGTCAAACAAATGTGAATGCAATTCAGTTTTAAAATCTAATTTAATAATCCGGCTTTTTGCGCGCTTGTATTGCATCATGCGTGTTTTCGGGACATCTTTTTATCGAGATCGAAAATTGATGTTTTTGTCCTTAAACTTTAAGTTAGATTAAGTTAGTGTTGTTTTAACGCTTCAAAATACTCAATGTTCGTTGATATAAAAATGTTGTTGAGCTTTGCCTCGTGTTTGCTTTATAAGTTGTAATCGCTTAGAGTGTCACGGTCATCTAAATTTGGCCAGAAGACGCTGTAGATAAGCTAGTCGCCTTGAATTCAATTTCTTGTATCATACATTTACCTAATTTTCATTCATTATTGTAAGGTTTGAAGTGTCTTTAAGTTGCTTTGAATACGCCTTGGATAAGAGTGTTGAGTTGGCTTAAATTTATGTTATGTTAATGATGTTTATGTTAATGATGATGATGATAAGTTGACGAGTGATGTTTATAGGTGTCAGCTGCGGATATGAGTGGCCATCACCACCTGCTTGTTTGCTCAGAGGAACAAATGAAGTTGTTCACTCTGCCGGCTCTAAAGTCCAAATACAAGGAGAAGTTGACAGCTGTACATGGACTCAAAGTACGCAAGGTCGCACCTATTAAGCACAGATCAGAAGGAGCCTCCTCGAACTTTTTGGCTTGCATGCTGAATGATGGAAGCGTGTGTACCTTCTCGTTGCCAGCTTTGTATCGCCAGTACAATTACAATCTGGTCAATTCTGAGAACAAAATAGCATGCATGTTTACGGAGTTCGACAACGAAGGGTTTGCGTATGTGCTTCAACAGACCAACTTGGTCAGGCAATATGCCATGTTTAAAGATACAGAAAGTCCGATGGTCGTAACGGTAGCGCTTCCAGAAGGTTGCAGACCTCTTCCACCGGTTGAAGTGGAGCCAGAACCGACACCGGCTGCCGAAACTGAAAAGGAAGAGGAAAAGGCTGAAGCAGAAAATGCCGAAAACGTAGAATCTGCCGCCCCTGGTGGTGAGACTGAGGAAAAGGCCGAAGACGGGGAGCCGAAGGACCTCCCAACAGTCGAGGAGGAGGCGAAGAAAATGATCGATGATGCCGAAGATCTCAAGGACGCCGAGTTCCAAAAGCGTATCCAAGAAGAACTGACTCCAGACAACCCAGAACTGACTACAACCACTGTGACAACTTACAGAGCGATTGAAAGCCGAACGATTATATCTTCGGACGATGGAACTCAGTGTGCAAAGATCATCACCACTACTCGAGACACGACCTTGTCACTCGACGGTGATGTTATTACGCAGAAAACTCAGCAGAAGGAAGAGTTTGAAGTCTCGCCATCTGATGAGCAGCCTCCTTCTGAGGGAGCGCCGGTTGCTGATTCCGAAGGCCAGGACAAGCAGGCTGAGGAAGTGAACGTGGAGGGAGTCGAGGACGACGATAAAGATCGAGAGGAGGTCACAACAGTTGTTCAAACAGTCACTGTAGTTGGCGCTGACGGAGAAGAAAGGGAAATCGAACATCAAACGGTGGTCGAAAAGGATGCGGCAGATGAGCCTAAAGAGGAGGAGCCGCAGCAGAAATCAGGAAGTGCGACATCAGACGAGGAGTTGAACCAGGAATTGCATGCTGAGGTTGAATCACTGCCTGTCAGAACGGCAACTCTTACTGAGAACGAGACGGTCGAGCCTGCGCCTACCGAAGAAGAGTCCGCAGCTCCTGAAGACGTAGATCATGTGACTCATCACATTGGAGGTCACGAGGGCGAGGAACAAACTGAAGGCGCAGTAGATCCTAAAGCTGACGTTGCAGTTGAATCAGCGCCTGCGGAATCGGAGGCTCCAGAGGAGTCAAATGAAGCAGCAGCGGCAGAAGAAGTTAAAGAACCGGAAGCCGGGAAGGAACCCGAAGAGAAGCCAGCAGAAGAAAAGGAACCAGCTGACGGCGTAGACGGAGAGTGTTACGGCGGGTCACAAGGTCATCTGTACTCGCCGTTGGCGGCTGAGAACAGCGAGGAGCCTAGTGAATCGCCAGTTGCCGACGACGAGCCAGAAGATGGTGTCACTGGAGCATGTTACGGAGGCTCGAACGGTGCATTGTACTCGCCTATGGGCCGAGAGGGAACCGAAAATGAGCAGAATGGAGACATAATTTACAACGGTGAAACTGGAAATGAACAAACCGGAGAAAGCCAAGAAAATGGAGACATGAATGGCCACGAAGGAATAAACGGACACGAAAATGGTCACGTTGAAAATGGAAACGGAATCGAGGAAGCGCCTGAAAATGTCGCAGAAACAGGAGACGTTGCCGAGAATGGAGAGTCTGAAAATGCGGGAGCTGACGGCGAAGTTCTGAAGAAAGCTTCAATTGCTTCAGCTTCAGAACAGAACACTGCTTCAGAAGAATTGAACGTTGAAGCCGCGGAATCAAATGAGTAATGCGAACATTTCGCTGTGATTGGACAATCGAAACAACGATTTAAATTGCTTCATACATCTTGGACGCTCAATTTAATTTGATCTCATTAGTAGAAAAACTATTTATTGCAAGCATTCAGTTTTGAACTAGCCAGCGTGTACCAGAATTATTCAGTTGCTTAAGCAGAATTGATGCACAATTATTGAGTTTTGAATTAATTTATGTAATGTATGTTCAATGTGGGGATGCAAGTTGCTCTTCTGTTCTTTCTGCAATTTTTAAAAGGTACCTAGGCGTATTTAATAATTTATAGATTACCATTTTGCTATGCTGTGTAGTTCATATGTTGCAGTATCAGTTTCACCGGTATGTCCTACTGCAGTTATAATTGACACCTACGAAGTCAAATCCATTTTGTACTTCTAAACAATCAATATTTTCAGCCATAATATTTTCAGTCGTAATTTTTGTTTAAAATATGTCCCACTGAAATCTCAACTTCGTTTAATTTTCATACCAAATCTTTCGCTACATTTAACAAAAATTGAGATCTTTTCTCGACTTTTTTTCCCGTTTTTAAGTAATTTCACAAACATGTTTTTATCGTTCTTAATTCAAATGCTGATCGGTTTCCTTGAAAAGATCTCCGACTTCGTTGCTTCCCTGTTGCCTTCACAATGTCGCTTTCTTTCGCATTTCGTGCTTTCGTCTAGTTTTACCCACATTGCATTTAAAACACTGCAAATATTGGTCTGTTATGTAACACCACCCTGTATTGTGCTGCGCAGTTTGTGAAAGTAGCCTAGAAACAGAATTTAAGGTAGCTCTAATATTGATCGCCTGATAACAACTTGATAATGTGGTTTCACAAGTTATACTAGTTGTAGTACAACCTTGTATCGATTTGCAAAGTCAAGATTCAGCCTAAATTAGAATCGACAAAGCTTACCATTTTAGTTTGATCACATGGGCTGTATATTATATTTCACGATTCGAATAGATTGTTCATGCATAGTTTTTCATGTAAAATTCCATCCACCAAACACGTGTTATGTACTGTACAGTAGAGCACTATCAGATAATAGGCAACCACTTTACCCAATGTTTCGCCGGTAACTTAGATATGCACATTAGCTATTAAAACTGAAGAAATGTTTGGCTCATTCATGGTCTATGTATGGATAATTTATGTATGGATAATTCATGGTCTATGTATAGACCGAGTTTAAAAATCTTTGAGACGTTATTCAAACTTGGCAATGTTGCGTAACTTAAACTGATGTGATTTAAAGGACATCCAAAGTTCAAGGGGTCCAAAAGGCAAGAATGAGTCAAACTTCGGACGTTAAATAGTCGCAAGTAAACAAATTGTTTACTTATGATCTAGTCGATCATCTCTTCACGTTAGTTTTGCAAATACTACTTCTATCTACAGGAAAATCAGTTAAAAGTTCTATCTTGGATGAAATTTGAGCTGACTTGATGAACTTAAAAGATGGAGGAAGTTTTGAAACTGAACATTGAACCCTATTTTAAATGAAAGGAAAAAACGCAGAATGAATTTGACAATAATGGTGTTTGTTGAATTCTGAGAAGAGATGTTCGGCATGATCAAATTCTGCGTGACGTCATCGTCTCTCGTCTACATAATGCATAAATCATCATTGGTGCCTGGATTATCATTGGTGCCGAATCAGTTTCTTTATTTTTCAACGTACAGTTCCTTACTCTTATTTAATGATAAAAACCATCCATTTGAAATGTGAGAAGCACTATCGGAAGCAGTTTTGTTCGTGTCCGTACCAGGTGAACATGAACTACTTCTTTGTGTTAAGATTTTATATTGAGGTACCATAAATTGATTGAATTGTCTGCGAGCCCAAACCGATTGTTTTCAAACCCTAAGCTGTCCTAAAATTTAATTTAGTGCAGTTGACCGTAAACTCACTTTATAAGATTGTATTGAACAAATAAAATAAATTTCGATTTGGGGGTAGACATGTATATGTTGTCGTAGTGCAGTAAAGGCGTTCTTTTCATGATCAATTCTTTTATTATATCTCCGAGGCGTAAAACAGCAGCTAAATGGTTGTATTCAAATGCCGATTCTACTTGTTGGATAAAAATAACTCTCCATAAACCCAACTTAAGCCCCGAAGTCAGCCCAGTTTAAAGATCGTAAATGTGTGTTAGAATTTCCTTCCGCTTCATTAATTGCTGGCATTATAGCGCATAAATTCTATTCTCTGCAGCCAGCATGTTTTCAATACAATTCTTCATTCTGACAGATTATTCCACCACGTGAAGAACCCTTTTGATTACCTACGTCTAGAGAATTTTCATGACATGCCATAGCTGTAGCGCCGCGCTTGCGTCATTTTCATTCATTCTGTCTAGCATAACAAACAGTCTACTTTTGTGAAGGATGTCAGCTCAAAAAAGTTGCAAGACGTGAACTGAAAAATATATCATGCAAAAATATGGCACCAATTCTTTTTTGTCTTTCAACTATAGTATGCGAATTATTTTCAGACTTATGTAAAATATTTTCTCTATGTAATTTGGATGTGTTGCCTTTTATATGATTTGATTTGATTTAGTTTGTAATGTGGTAAATATGGAACGAAGTCGTCGCAACATGATATGGGAATATTGTAGTTTTATATATTTTTCCACGTCAAATATCAAAAAACGTTTGCAAAATGCTCCAATGTTTTCATGTTGAACGAGTTCACAGGAGCATAATTATTATCAAGTAACATTTAGTTTTCAGGGGATAAACACAAAATAAGTTTTATAGGTGCAACGAAGCGTCTTTTTTACTTGGTGCCAAAAGAACGGTTACGTAGCTTAGTCGCAGTTTTCAATTGCAGTAGTAGTTTCCAATTCTAGAAGCATTCTAGCAGCGGTAGCTCCGCATCCAAAGCGTATGAGCAAAAGGTTTTTCCTCTGTTTTGAGTAGGTAAATTCAAAGTTTAACAAGGATAGCCGTTTGCTGTGCAAGTAGCGCAGAAAGTTCCGACCACATTCGTAAAACACTACAAAAAAAACTTTTTTATCTTCAAATTAGCGTTGTATCTTCTATAGAACGAAGATAATAGAACTATTCAAAGGCGTAGATGGTTAGTGAATCAAGCTTAAAATTTTAAATTGGTATGAAAATTTTAAAGGGCCAAGAAAGCGCTGAATGAAGCTTCAAAACTGTTTTTTTTAAGTCTAAAACTCAAAAAATTTTAACCGGTTTTTCTCAACACTTGAATGTTCGTTCGACTCACTACTGAAAGGGCTTTTATATGAAATATCACTCGACCCCTTCGGATGATTATTTGTGGTACGTGATTCTGCGTGAAAAACAAAAAAGCACACCCGAATGCGAAATTCCTCAAATGGTCGGAACAATAAAACTTTATAAGATTTTCAATTGACTAAAGTTGCCTTGGAAAAATAAATAACAAAAATGAGCACAAATGAAGCGGTAAACTAAGCTTTAAAAACTAGTTTTTTGCAGCTTAAAAGTAAATGTTTTGAAATGTAAAAAACTGAATTGTAGTTTAATAAAGATTTTTTTTTTCATTTTGTCGCGTTTCTCGCTCGCCTTAATCACTCCAAATTAGACTGAAAACCAAGTTCTAAACCTATTTTTTGGCGCTGAGAAACCTATGTAATGTCAATTGATATAATACTTAAGGGTAGAATTGATATATCACTCGACTTCTTGTGATGATTAATTTTGGTGCCTCATTTTGAGTGGAAAAAGTAAACAGAAAAGAAAAGGAAGATAGCTAGTTGCTGTGTCACTACCACTGAATGTTCCGACTACATTCGTTAAAAAAATTGTTGAAGTTTTTTTTCTTCAAAATAGTGTCGTTTTTTTTCTGCGTGATGTAAGAAGAAAACTGCACGAGCGCGTAGAGCTTTAGTGATTTTGGCATGATCGACATCAATTGTCTTGGAAAATCATTGACACACAAAAAAAAACGAAAAAAAATTATTTACGAAAAAAGTTTCTGACAAATTTGTTTTTTGAAAATTTTATTGCCGAGAAGAAGCTTCCAAATATAAAATGCAGCTTCCAAAACTAAGTTTCTTGTAAACATCTAAGTATCTCATTAACTGAAAGTTTTTTGTTGTTAAATCATGCTCAAAAATAGACTAAATTTCAGAAAAAGCCATCCGATTTTTCTCGATGCTGAAATCTCTACTAAAAGGGTTTTTATGTGGTATATCACTCAACTATTCCAATGGTTTTTCGTGGTGCCTGATTTTGGGTGAAAAAATATTAAATCACCACCCGAAGACAAAAAGTGCTTCCCCACTTTCAGTGGTCGGAAGAAAAACTAAAACGCCCAAAGACGAAGGTCTTTTCCACGTTCAGTCGAAGGGAAAAAACTAAATATACCCAACGACAAAGTTGCTATCCATTTGCAGTGGTCGGAACAATGATAGCAGAAGACTTGCTTAGCCGACTGGAACTATTTTAGCTGTAGATTATTAGTATTTCCTTCCATCTAAGCTCGTTTGTTTTAGTCATTTCCTAATCGGACCTGGTTTTGCATAACCAGTCATTTTTTCCACAACCAAGCTGACCAAGTCGCACTTGTCGTATTTAAGGAGCATGAGCTGTAGCAATATCCGCTTAATTAAAGCACATTCACTGCTGCCTTACCAGTGAAGCTTCGTAAATGGAGTAGTGGTCGAATCTGACCAAGATCACTTTTTTCAAACGGTAAATAATCCGGTTCAAAAAAATTCGGCCTATTATTTGTCTGCTTATGATTTGTCGGCTTAGTTGCCTTATCTAACAATCGCTTATTTTAGCTGTAAACCATTTTACCTGTAGTTGTTTTATGCATTTTAAAAATCCGGCCGACTCAAAATTTGCTTTTCACATTGGTTGTAATTTAACCAGCTCGATTTGTTAAAATTTCATTTCGTCAATTTTATTGGCCTAATAAACGCTGGCCTAATTAAAATCGATTTAGTGGCCTCATATTGCGTCGATACGTCTGAACTTTGTTTGTTTTTTTTGTGCGTGTGTGTGTGCTCTGAGGGGAAATTTTTTTTTATTGACATGAAGGGTTTCTGCTCAGGTTTTTTCGGCTTTGTTACCGCTTGGTAATTTTAAATTGAAATCCAATCAAGCATCCGGTACATCTGTCGTAGAGAATAAACAACTGCTTGAGACGGCAAAGATGTGCGGTTTGAATCCGGTCGGGCCCTTTTTTGTAAACCAGAGTTTTTGTGCTTTTTCGGACTGTCGTCCGTCTGTTAATATTTGTCAGCTTAGTTTCCGTAGCTCAATGGTCTAGCTTTATTCCAAGTTGCTGTAATCCCCATGCTTGAGACGACAAAGCTCGGGAATTTGATTCCAGTTGAGACCTGTTTTTCTTGCAAATAGAGATTTTTGGCTAATTTAGATTGTCTGTCTGCTTAGTTCCGCAAAAAATACTTTTCTTGAAAACTTGGATTCTTTATAGCATTCCCAAAGCTCTTTGTAGAGTTTCTAATGGTGCAGGCAATTTTTTTCCGGATATTTTGGACTTTTCTTACAGTTTTTATTGACAAAAACGATTTTTTGAATTTTCTCATTTGATTTTCATAGTCATTCATATTTGTATCGCAAGTCGCGCGAAGCTCAGTTTCGCCTCTGTATTAGATTTTACGATGAAACAAAAAAGTTGTTTTTGATCCAGTTTTCTCAAACGGAAATGTCAACAATATATGATGATTGAAATTAAAAGAGTTTTTTGAAAAAATTACTCTCAGTTGTCGAATAACTCAGTAAGGAGCCAATTAATGTTATTGGTTATGTTGGGCACATTTTAAATAGATGTTTTCTGCAGCTAATTTAGTAATTAATTATGTCATATATACGGATAAAACTGCTTTTGTATGGCTTACAAGGTTTAGTTTTTGTACAGTTTCAGAAGTTTGTAAATGTTGCAACAAGGATAGCCGGTTGCTGTGCAAGTAGCACAGAATATTCAAACCATATTGGTAAAAAACTACTAACAAAATTTTTTCAAATTGATTCTTTTTTTTTGCGCGATGACAGAATCTAAATGAAAGCCTAGAAGTTGGATGCTAAAAGTAAATTAGGCAACATTTGTAACAATTTTCCATATTTAATAATTTTAAAATTGGGAAAACTCAAAAGTTTTTTTTCGTTCTTAAAATTTTGTAATATTTTTCGATTACTTATTTAAATTGAGTAAAATTAAGTAATATTGATTTGATAAAACGTTGACGAAAAGCTTTTCTTCGCTCGAATTTTGACGGAATAATAGTCGGAACAATAATTGAGTTCTCTACAGGTTGATTTTTCAGATTGTACCGATCCTGTGCTTGTTTTGAATTGGGATTCCAAAAAAGCTTAGAATTTCTCGATTTTGATTCAAACTGGCTCACAATTTAAAAGGTTTACAGTTTACACTATGGCGTTGGTGATATAAATGGATTTAAAGCAATAAATAGCATTGTGTTGATATTTCTTCATGTCTAGAATCATCAGAAAGATTTTTGCCAATAGTTTTTTTTGTTTTCAGGTGAGACCATGTTTTTCTTCGGCCATTGACCTTACTTGTTTAATGTTGACCTTTTCGTTCTCATCATTAGTCGGCTTAGAAATCAATTGATTTGTTCGATCTTGAATAGCTGTTTGGACAGTTGCGATGCCGATTCTAGAGGAGGAAGAGACAGTCAATGAGACTAGTGGTGTTGTCTTGGCAGCAGGAGGCGCGGAGGGGGTGGCGCTTCAGCAGCAGGGATGGGACTTCAACATGGGTGCGAATAACCCGTCTGTCCCCAAGAAGAAAAACGGACTAAAACACGATCACAGCACGCTTCCAAGAAATGCGGTAAGCGATTTTTTTGCAGACTCCCTAAGTACTTATTACGTGATAATCTGAACAACAGATTAGGGCGTAAATCAGTGGCTTGAAAGCAAAATTGTGTGTCTTTACATTCGTTAAACTTGAAATTTTTTGTTATTTTGGAGAAAAATTAATAAACTCTTCATAGACTGCTCAGAAAACCAATCACGTTTTTGTAGAGCTGATATCATTACATATGCAGAAACTGGAATCTACATTTTCATCCAGCTGACAAATTTTACGAATGTGTAAGAACGTATTTTGATGTAAATTGTTGATTCGGCCTTACGATTGAGCGGGAGGTCGGAGGATCAAATTTGTTTTTTTTTCTGGCAGGTTTTTCATCTATCGGGTTTCCCGTTTGATTTGGAATGATATATGTTGTTGCGTTTTCTCGTCTTTTTTTCTTCAAAATGATCTATGACGTCAACAGGGTCACCACAAATAAGTTTTATTACTTTTTAATTTTCCGAAGAACGTTTTCGGGCTTGTGATCTTTTTTGCAGATTTTTGTGGATCCTTCGTCGAAACGGCGTATGTGAGTTGATAAAATTTTCCTTATTTTGTATAGAAAAACTAATTATTTACTGGGTGTAAATAAGCAAATTATATTTTTTGGTGTTTGATTTTTCAGAGCATTTCCCCGTGGAATCACTATTCTTAGATTGCCTCTTGTAAGTATTTACACTTGCGGTTAGCAAGCGTTACAAATTGGAACATAGACTTTTCCACATAAATAACTTGTTTAACAGAATCATTGAGTGATTTCGTTGACTGGAAGATCTACAAGAGACTAATCGCAGACATATTTTGAGCATGTCTACTTTTTACGCTTGCGATAAGCAAGCGTTATCAAGTCGGAATACAGACTTTCTTCTTGTTAACAACTAGTTTAACGAAATCAGTTAAATCAATTGTTAAGATGCTCAATTTCATGAAAATTTCAATTTAGTTACCGGGTACCACTTATTTTTTGGTATGTTTTATTAAGTAGTTCTGCTGATGATTTTTCGGTTCCATGGTTGTTGACTTAAGCGCTGTCGGTTTAGTTTCCAAATTATCTAGTTCCTATTTGATAAAAACTGGTATTATGAAAATGTATGGTTCCGTGTTTTTTTTGGAGAGTTCTTCCCTTCCCCAGTATGCCCATATAATCCCCCAGTCTCTTTTTACCTTTACCCCACTGTGCGCGTCACTCTCCACACTTCGTAATAAAATCTGTTTTCAAACACTTGAATTAACGAGTATTTTATCGGAAAAATAACTCTGGAAATTTCGTAATATAATGATATTTTTAACAAACTTTTTTATTGTTAACATCGGTAACATCGGCCACACAAAACTGCATAACTCAAAGCAAGCTGCAAAAATGGCCAGTATTTGTCCTTGAGACAAATTGCTCTTTTTAAAGGTCAGCCTTAATTAAGGCTGAACCAAATTAGAGCGAAAAGACGGTTAAAATAGGTTTTGGGGGGGATCGAACCTGGTTACGGAGCATCCCATCAAGTTCGGTGCATATTTGAGTTCTAGAAAGGAAATGACTTAGTCGGGAATCGAACCGGCGCCGAACCCGCCGGGACGCACCATGTATACGCTTGGCTACTGTCCCTATATGCATTTATATTTTGGTTCAGTTTTATATGCATTTATACTCTTGCTTACATTTACATTTGCGCTGCAACATCCTCCACCCCTAAACAAGGAAGAACGGGAGCGAGCTTTACGGTCGGGCGGGTCAGTTCGCTCGTAACAGTCTTTATGTCGGCGGATCTCGCGCATCCGTCCTTGCCATAGTGCAATTTTAGGATACGTGCGAGTGGAAAATGTCCACGCGGAGTGTCAGGCTCTATGACCCAAACCAAGTCGCCGGCTTTCAACTTAACGTCTGACTGGTTGTGCCACTTTGCCCTCCTATTGAGGGAAGGAACGTGTTCCCGCATCCATCGTGTCCATATTGCGTTAGCGTATGATTGCGCTCTGGCGAACCGCTTCTTATGGTCGAAGTTTTCTTCGAAACTTAGCGACGGAAAACTCGCTGCGTGTTGACCAAGGATAAAATGATTCGGGGTCAACGCCTCTAGATCTAGCGGATCGAAACTAACGGCTGTTATCGTTCTAGCGTTAAGTGATTGCTCAACAAGGCACAGCGTGGTTCCTAGAACCTCCTCAGTTACTCTCCTGTTGCCTAGGATATCATACAAGACGCGCTTAACACTCCGAACTAATCGCTCCGAGGAGCCACCATGGTGCGGTGCGCTGGGTCGATTGAATTTCCACTTGATCCCTTTCTGAACAAAAACAGCGGGTGCTAGCTTGTTCCAACTCTCAATGCAAGCTAAGAGCTCTTTCTGAGCGCCAACAAAGTTCGTTCCGTTGTCGGACATGATGGTAGTCGGAGTACCGCGACGTGCAATAAACCTCTCTACGCCCATCACACAAGAGCTTGTGTCGAGCGAGGGGACCACTTCAATATGCACCGCTCTAGTGGTGAGACAGGTGAACAAAAAACCCCACCTCTTTTCCGTACTTCTGCGGATTGGAACTAGGAACGGCCCAAAGTAGTCGACACCTGTGTTAGTGAAAGGAGGTTGCTTGTAACCCAGCCTTTCAATGGGCAGATCAGCCATAATATGAGTTACTGTTTGCGCTTTGCGTTTTCGGCAAGCAACGCAAGTATTTTCAATGTTTCGCAGCAACCATCGCAAATTTAACACAACGTACTTCAAATTAACCACCGCACGCATGTAATCCAAGCCTTGATGGAAATTCCTAACGTGCAAGTGCTGAACCAATAACCGAACAACCGCGTGACGTGCATCAAGTATAATCGTATGCTTGCTATCGAAATCGGAATAAACCAAGCGGCTGATGCGCCCAGTCGAGCGAAGGATGCCAGCTGGTCCAATGAACGGCGAATACTTGGCGATCCGACTATTCCTAATGATAACTTTACCGGATCTTAGTAGTTTTAGCTCACTAGGGAATGTCTCACCCTGGGACAGGTAAATGAGCTTCTGTTCAGCAAAATCCATTTCAGACGGGTCTGTAATTTTTAATATACTCGACCGGAAATGTTTATGGGATGGCAGCCATCCTAACAAAAATGCTACTGCGCGTTTGTATTTTACAATTGAATTGAATCTCTCCCATTTTCCGAAGGGAAGATTTTCTTCTGTCAAAACATCGACGACGAAATTTGACGAATTTTCCAGACAAATGTCGATATCACATGATGGTCCTTTGAGTCTTATTTTATCGATAACCCTTGTATCGGGCTTGAACGGCCAATCAGTTGTTCTCAATATACTAGGGCCATTAACCCAGCTGCTTTCCTTGAGGGCTTCCGAAGAAATCCCTCGTGTACCGGTATCAGCTGGGTTATCACCGCTAAGTATGTGATGCCACTGATCAGTGCTGGTAGACTCCAGAATCTCACCAGTGCGATTACCAACAAAAACGGGTAGTTTACTACAAGAGTGAAGGCACTGAAGAACAGTGGTACTATCTGTCCACATGAAAATATCCGTAACTTTGAAAGTGAGACCTTTCAAAATTTCTTCTTTTAAGCGGGTTGCAAGAAGAGCCGCTTGAAGCTCTAACTTTGGAATAGAAAGCGCTTTCATAGGCGGGACGCGGGCTTTGCCAAACACAAAGGCTAATTCGGTCTGATGGGAGCTAACAAGTCGCGCACGAAGGAAAGCGACGGCACAGAAAACATCCTGCGAACTATCACCGAACATGTGAAGTTCTATTCGGTCGAAAGGATCAGTGAAATAGCTGCGAGGTATTGTCAGAGAACCTAACAAATGAAGACTTGAGTGCCACTCAAGGAATTGCTTTTTGATTTCCTCTGGCAGATCATCGTCCCATTTTTGACCGCTGATTCGCCAGATATCTTTTAATAGAAGGCGAGCCTTCACGGTATACGGAGCCACTAACCCAATCGGATCAAAAACAGAGGAAACAAAACTCAACACGGTACGCTGAGTGATTGCTTTGTCTAGTGGACGATCAACCCCTCTACTAACGATTAAGGTATCTTTTACGTGATCCCACTTAAGACCGAGAACATGCGACGACTGGTCTGGACTCGCACAAATATCTTTAACAGAGGAATTGGACTCACGGTTGTCCGGATCAAGAGCGGTTGTTACGTCGGGCACGTTGCTGACAAATTTTGTCAGACGAAACCCACCTAGTTTAAGCAACGAGATTAAATCCCTACCTAATTTCAAAGCGTCATCTCTGTTTTGAAAAGAATCCAGATAATCATCCATATAAAACTTCTGGACAACAGCCGAAGCAGCTTCGGGGTACTCAGCTTGGTTATCCGATGCAGTCTTCTGCAAAGCAAAATTCGCACAAGTCGGCGAGTCACGAGCACCAAAAATGTGACGCGTATATTGGTGAACTACCACACTTGATGTGGGGTCCTCCCGCCACAAAAAACGAAGAGAAGCTTGATCTTCTTCCCGGACTCCAACCTGTAAAAACATCCCTTCAATGTCAGCTGAAACGGCGTATTTATGCTGACGGAATCTTAAAAGTACAAAAATGAGGTTTTGAAGGAGATCCGGGCCAACCAACAGAGATTTGTTCAAGGAAGCGCCATGACACTTCGATGCCCCATTGAGGACTCGGCGCACCTTACCGGGTTTATTCGGGTTCAACACCGGGTGATGCGGGAGATACCACTCACGATCGGCTCGTGATTTGGGATCGTGTGCCTTAACGGTTATGACATATCCTTTTTGTATATCTTTTCTAATTGTTTCGGCGTATTTTTCACGGAGCGACGGATCCTTATCTAGCCTCTTTTCCAAAGACTTTAATTGAGCTAAGGAGGAAAAACAGTTATTCGGTAAACTACTTTCCTTATCGTTCCAAAGCATTGGTACAATGTACCTCTCACCATCGTGAAAGGTGTCATTTTTCAAAACGGACAAAGCTCGTTTGTCGGCGGCGGAACGGGCATCTACCTGCTT